CATAAATAAAAGTGGACGAGTAGAGATGGGTTACCTACAAAGAAGTCCCCTTCTACATTCTGCGGCCGTCTCTGTCTCGCATGTCGTGTTTGAACTGCTTTAATAGCAGGAAATCTGGACGCCCTGAAGCTCTTCTGACCATACGATGATGAAGAACCTTTCAATTTCTCCGAAGAACAATACACACTAATAGGAAGACTGATTGCTCCGCTTGCCATAGCCATGAAGAACTTAGTTTTTCTTCTCCCCTGGGGTAAAGAAGCTACGGAAATGAACAAGTGATGATTTTGAGGTTGTAACTAGAAATATGGTGCATATTCAGAATGGCAAAGAAAGTCTGCTGTATCCCTGGGACAAGGCAGACGTGGTATCCCGGCCAATCCGAAAGCACCACATCAACTTTTTTTTTTTTTTCCACACTTCATCAATTACAGGCAAAACAAAAAGGTTAAAACCCCCTTTTTGGTCCCTGAACTATTGTATGGACCCCCGATTTAGTCCTTAAACTAAAAAAATCTCTGATTTGGTCCCTACTGTTTACCCATTTTACCCCAACTTGGTCTTTCCATTAAAAATATAGTGAGGGTCCCGTTAATTAACTGAGTATGATGATATATCAAAATATTGTGACACGTCAACTGTACACATGGCATACGTCATAAACCACGTCAGATTCTGAGCCAACAAAAAAAATAAATTATGGGGCTCACCTCCTGCCCCTCCCAAACTCACTATCTTTTCCCCCTTTTTCCCCTTTGAACCCTAAGAGAGTTGTACCAACAGTCTCCGTTGGGTTTCTTCGAGAACCTAATCGTTGGGTTTTGTTGGAACCCAAGAGCTAGGTTCTTTTGAGAACCCCTGGGTTCCTTCGTGAACCCAAGCGCTTGGGTTCGAGAAGGAACCCGGGCCTTGGGTTCGAGAAAGAACTTAGGTGTTGGGTTTCTTCTCGAACCCAAGGGTTCTCGAAGGAACCCAGTGCCCAGGTTCCTTCGAGAATCCAAAAGCTGGGTTCCTTCAAATCCAGGGACAAAAAAATTTCTATTCTTTTTTTTTTTTGTGGGTGTAGTTGTTTGATTAAGATGAATTCGATATTGAATTTGATTGTTTGATTGAATTGATTGTCTGAATGAAGGAAGATTCGAGAAAGAAGATGCTGGAGGAAGAAGATGATGCAAAATTGTAATTTAGTGAGCTCCACTTTTGTTTTTGTGTTGGGTATGACCATGTCATCATTTAGCCAGTTGTACAACTGGCGTGTCTTAAATTTTTGATATGTCTGTGAGTTAACGGACGATTTTTAACGGAAGGACCAAGTTGAGGTAAAATGGGTAAACAGTAGGGATCAAATCAGAGATTTTTTTAGTTTAAAGATTAAATTAGGAGTCCATACAATAGTTCGGAGACCAAAAAGGAGTTTTAACCAAACAAAAAACAGTTAATGTGATGTTTTTCTGTATCGACTGGGGATACCACGTCTATTGTAAACCCGGCATACGCCATACTTTCTTGGTAGAACTTCAAAAAATTTAATAAAAGTCTAAATTTTATTATTTTTCAGTCATTTTCGGACTATAAAAATATCATACTGAGCTGTCGTCAACACGTATACACTTGACATCTAGAGAAATTATGTAAACAATCCTTAACCTTTGAAGACGGGTTCAATTTGGTCTGTGTAGGTTTTATTATACTTACTTTAATTTTTTAAAATAATTTTTTAACAGAAATTATAATTATTAATATATATATTTTTATCTTACACAATGAGAGATAACTATTTTTATTCTTAATTTCACCTTACTTACGTGTCATGTGATTCAAATTCAAAATTTCTTATTTCCAATGAAAAAAAATCAATGAATTATTTAAGTCGTCAATAATTATTAATATATTTTAAGAATTTATATAATTTATCATAAATTATTTTATTAGTTAGGATAATTTTATTTTAATTTTAATTTTTTTTATTTTTATTAAAATTAATAGAAATATTTTATAATAAATTATTTTACAAAATTTATAAATTATTTAAAAAGTTAACTTTTTAAATTAAAATAAAATAAAATTGATAGTTAACAAATCAATCATTGAATTAAGTCCATCTTTATTTACAAATTATTTATTTACAAATTCCATATAAACTTTATTTAACAATAACAAATATATGGTTTAAAAGTTTAAAATTTTTAAAGCATATATTTTCAATTAGGGAACAGTGTCTATTTACTTTATTTTTTAAAAATTATGGTAAAAATCATCCCAAAATTAAGTTGTTTCAATAAAATTTATTGAAAAAAATTAAAATATATTATTTTTAAAACATAAATTAGAGTATTTTTTGTCATTTTTTATAATATTTTATTAAAATTATGTAATTTTAAAATAATTTTTTTTTTTAATCTTTGAGATGTAAGATGAATAATCACTAATTCCTTTAAATTATTATATTGTCATACCAAAAATATAATTTTAGATCACTATGATCACTAGTAAGATATATTCAAATACATTAAATTTAAGCAAAAAAATCTCACCAACGTTTCCACTAACCACCTACTAGGCGAAGCTCTCAACGACCATAAATGGCTGGAGCTCATTTGCAGTACTGGAAAACCCAACAACAACTTAGGGAATCAGGTAAGGATAATTATATTTGACCTCCCTCGCTCTATTTCCCTAATATATATACACACTCTACACCCCTTCCTATTAGATTCATCTTCTTTCTCTAGCTCTCTACTCACATGAGATTTTTTTCCATAAATCTTTGCTAATATTATGCGTCAGGGTGCTAAAACAGAGACTAATTTCGATATTTAGCTAAGCTCTTACGCTGCACTGTTTTGCAGGCATCCATTGTCCATCTCCAGTCAATTTTCTTTCTCATAATACTGGTTGCCACTATTTGGTGACAGCATATATATATATATATATATTTAAAACAGTCTTCGGATCCTAAACCCCTAAGAATAGGTCATGAAACATTGTGGCACGAAGTCTGGTTCTATCATATATCTAATATCTTCCATTAACAATTAATATAATACTAAAGAAAATTAATCTTAATCATTGTAGTAGGTGGAACTCAGAGAAATGATATAGACAAGTGCAATGGATTATTACAGAACAGAACAAGGAAAAGAAATGCAAGTTTTTATGTTTGTTATTACAGAACAGAACAAGAAAAAGAAAATGACAAGTTCATCACACGAGATTCAGAAGAGAATGAGCAGTTTGCACACACGTTAGCATGCACCATTTCTCAGTAGTACTACTAGATATCCATTTATGTCTGAGATATTTGGCTATACTTCTTTTGGAGAAATTCTCCTATCATGGAGTTCTTCTCTTGAGAATCTTTGAATTCAAATCTCCGACCATGAGCTGCAAGTTAATGTAGAATTAAGCAATTTACCGAATTAAGTAGCCATTTCACCATGCAAGGAGAAGAAAAAACAGTACATACCTGGTATTATCCACTGGAAATCCAACTCTAACAGCTTTTCAACACTCTTCAGTTGCTTAGGAACTGCCAAAGACAGGAAAATTGTTGGCTATGGAAACAAATTCAAAATTGTGTTCCATATCAATACATCACAAGCTTTGATGAGACTACAATCTGTTGTTTTTATTACCTGAATGACTGAATGGATCGAGAATGCTTAGTCCAGATAATTTTGTCATTATGAGGTGGTCACCTGTGAATATAACCTTAAGTGACTTATGGAACAAGCTGACTGCTCCCTGCAACAACCCATTGAGCATAATTGTTATGCTGTCAATTTCTAAGACTATTGGAGGAATTAACAAAAAATTGATGTCTCGAAAGTACGAACTTATAGTAGCTAGGTTGTGCAAGGAACTTACCTCAGTGTGGCCTGGAGTGTGTATTAGCATAACGTCTGAGGCAAGGCTCCATGGGCCATTCCCCTCAAGCTTTATCTCCACATTAGCGGTAGAAGCTTTAACCTAAAGAGAAAATCAGCATGGCAAAAATATAACCATCCTTAAGACCTACACATTTTATAAGTCATTTTAGACTATACTTCTTTGTGGATTAATCAACATGGATCCTAAAATAAATGGAGAAGAACTGGAAGTTACATACATCTTGGTGGTGCAGAACCCTGTCACAATTTAACCGTTTTGACCACTTCCCAGGATCTGCAACATCATCCCTGACACGAAAAAAATTGATCACCATTAATCATCTAAAAGAAGATGCAACACATTACATATATCTTTGCCAACTTACTTATGGTTGTGGGTTATAACCATGTAGCGTACTCCTCCGAGCATCTCAATTCTATGTGCAAGTCCCTCATTGTATTTTGGACTAGAGAGAAGAAAAAAAAAGACAGACAGGATCAGTTGAATTTCAAATGATAAATACAGAACATTCAAACAAGCACTTCAATTTCAGACATTTATATGTGATGATCATACAAAAACATACGTGTCTACAAGAATATTTCCTTGAGGATGGATGATCAAGTAGGAAGCTGTTCCTTGTGATTCCAAAGAATGAAAACCACAGTGATAAACACCCTGAAAAAAAAAAAAAAAACCACTTCTTTTAGTATTTGTACAAGGTACTTGCAAGGTATTCCAAGAGTGCATAATACATACAGGAAGTTTGTGTTCATCTATTGGAATGGGAAATGAGTTTTTAGCTTCCAGGAGATCAGCAGAGGCAGGGGGTTGTTCTGTGTGGATTGAACCAGTTGGGCAGGAAACCAAGGCCTGCAGCCATCAAAAGAAGTTAGAAAAATAGCAGGTACAAAAAGTCAGAGGAAGTTGAACGTAATCGAGGACAGATGAAGAGAAAGTACCTGAAGAGCCTGTAGACGATCCTCCTTACAATTTGGCTGTTTAAAAACTACAGACATTCCATCAACTCGAGCGAAGGTTTCCTGAAGTAATAAAGATTTTGAGAGTAAGCTGATTAAAGTGTACGTATGGAAGGGTCTATGGAAGGTTTAACATGAATATATTACAACAAGAGTTAAGTGGATGAACGCTCAGAAGATTACCGAAGCCACCCAACGGCAAGTGTCACAGTCTATGCACGTATGATCTGCAGAATGGGTGAAAAAAAAGAAGAAAAGAAAAAGAAAACTCAATGACAACTGAAGTTGTTCAAATTAAGTATCAGGGTGTGTCAAACAGTGACAGGTCTCGTTTGTTTTTGACTTATAGGCCAGAGCATTGCACCCTTCCCTCTGACACTTGAAAACTAATGGTGACGATGATTACCTACGAAGAAGTCACCATCTATATTCTCAGACCTTCTCTGTCTGACATCTTTTGGATTTACCTTCTGAGGTTGAACCACTGCTTTAATACCCGGAAATCTGTGGGCTCTCATGAAGCTCTTTTGATTACCACAGGAGGATGATGAAGTCAAGGAATGAACTTCAACTTCTCCAAAGAGAAAGAAGAAGATGCTAGAATAGACAGATTGATTGTTATGCTCGCCATGGTCTTGAAGACGGAACTTTCTTCTTTTCTTTGGGTTCCTCTGCTATGGAATAGAAGAAGTGCAAGGGCAATAATTTAATTAAAAAAAAAATAGTGTGCAATTTGAATTCAATTATACTGTACAACAAATCACTCAAAAAAATAAATTCTTTATTTAATAAATTTTTTTTTTTTATCATCTGATACAAAAATTCATTTAAATAGACATT